ATAAAAAAAAGAGTCAAATAGTTTCAAAACTTGGGATGAATATTTCTCTGTAATCAATTATTTTTTTGACAATTAGATATATGATTGACAACCAAAAGGTCTTGGGAACAAATGGCGACTATGGTTGAGATGTATAGTAATTGACACTGTATGGCTTCAAAAAATAGGTATGTTTTTGATTGAAACTAACATAGTATTGAATTGTGTTGATAATAGGTAGTTTTATGATTGACAATATGCATAAGTAAATTGTGTCAATAGTAGATGACTTTGATAGGAACTATATTGTTTTGATAATAAAAGACAAATGTCAACATAAGGTATATGTAGATAATGATGCCACCAACTAAATTAGATCTTCACTAGAACTGAAATAAGGAGAAAGAATTCAAAGAACTAGGTATTGAAAATTAGGTCTTCAATTGAGCTACAATTAGAATCCTTAAAAGGCCTAGTATGAGTTAAGGAAAACTGAGCGATTGCAAAAGATCATGGTAGCAGCAAGTTCACAAGCTCACATGCTATAAAATGGAAGGTAAAAATGGTACAAATGAATGAATTTTTTTAAAAAAAGGTGAAAAAAACTATATAAGTTGAAGTTCAGTCAACATGGAACTCAGTTAAATGCTCATCTTTTCTCATTGTAGGCTCCAATGGATTACCATATGTGCCATTGATATTGGTCTATTAAAATGCAATTTTTCTATCAAGAAAAAGTTGTGAATATGAGAGGTTGGGTTGGCATCTCTAAAAGCCAAAATGTATTAAATAGCGGAAATTAGTGAAACTCTCATGGTGCTACATGGTTGGTGGAGTAGGTTGAAGTTTCCTAAACTTTTATAAATTTGTATGTCTCTATCTAGTGACTTGGTAATTGTTACTTGATTTTTGGCCACACTTAGATCAAGAAGGGGGAGGGATTGCATTAATCAGATCTAATATTTATCTTTGGTTAACTTTTTTCTACACTCCTTGACTCTTTCTTAAGATTATAATGTCTTGATTTTATATGATCTAGAATTATAACATTCTGGGGTTTTTATAGTGGTTTGGGCTCCTGCCTATATCCACTCCCCAAAAATAATTCTTCTTGGGTGGTTTCACTTAGATGGAATGTCACAATCATAACCATTGATTATTTAGCTCAATTCCCTAATAATTTTCACTCAGAAACTTTCTTCTAGATTCACAATTTTAGCAGGCCATCAGATATATCTCTATTAATACATGAACATATGTTACTTAGAAGGCATCGAAGCATTTATCTTACTTTACAAGGGCTTCATCGTTTGTTCCACCACTCAACTGGTTCATACTCTCTATGTTGCCAAATTCACACTTTAAATTGGCTTTCTCAATAGCTTCTCATCAACCTTCACAGGATTTCTCAGGTTTTTCCTAAGGGGAGATATCTGCACAGACTACCGTTCCACATAATTTGTCCAGAACCATTCGTTATGACTTCTCATCATTCATTTATGAAGGAACGCATAGAAGTGACTCCTTGCGAGTAACCTACCACCTCGACGTTCTTCTGTGTTAGGTAGTGGTTTCAATTTGACTGAAGGAAAACTTTCTGTATGTGTTTATGTACCTCAACAAGAGGATAATTAAATATGAACCAGAAGGCTTGGAAAATGGACATGTGGATATCTGCTATATTGGCGCTCGCTTATATGAAGATCTCAACAAGAGGCTGGACTGGCCTATTTGTCTGTTAATAAGAAGTAGGAAATGATACACCTTCCGAAAATACGACTCTTAAGATCTCGAATGATATAGGCATAAGGGGAATGAAGTTGTGGCTTATTGGGCATTAACTGGCATCATGTCAAGAGATACAAAGATTGGTCATCACACACAGTAGAATAGTTGACGTCTCTCTTCCTCTAGTATCCCCAGCATGGCTGCGACAACAACCCTAGTGCCAGTTCCCACAATCACATCGAAGTAGTCAGCTACTCTTGCCCCTTATCCATCTATCTTCAGCCTCATTCAAGAAACCACATCGGTTTGGTGCAACTGCAGGAGTTTTAGGTTGACAAACCCCAGCAACATCTGTTCCCGTGTCCACAGTCTCTTTCTGAAAGGGTGTGTTTGCAAAGACTTGGATATATACTAGATGTTCGGCCTCGATGATTCCTAATCAGTAGAAAGGTAGGAGACAACACGATGACTGAAAAAATTCCGTAGGTTGGAAATACAGGAATTACATATTTTAAGGTCAAGGAAGTTGGGGGTACTGGTATCATTCCACTCCAGCCATTTCTTTATAATAGTGATGGCTGGGTTCATTGTACAGGAAGAAAGACAATAAAATAGGGTTAAGTCTGGCTACCTCTGAGTATCGTCTTGCCCAAGAACAAAAATAAACGAAGAAAACAGCCTTAGTAACGCATGACTTTAGTGAGCCCTTGGAACGGACGAGCAGCTCCAAGCGTGGTTGTCAACAGTACAGCCACATATGGGGGGGTAGCCATTGGAGGGAATAGGAAGGGGAGTTGGGTCGAGGAGAGTTGTAGAAGGGCGCTAGAAGGCCGCTGAAAACGTAATACCAGCGGCACCACATGGATGAAGTGCTTGCGTGGAAAGGGGCTGCTGATGGTTAGGAGGGGAGCAAAAGCAGAAGTGTGTGCTTGGGTGATGAAAAGTTCTACACCGAACTGTTGACAAGACCCCACCTGAACAAGCATGAGAAGTTTTTTTTTGGCATCTGATTAAAGACTCAATATCAGAAAATTTGGTCGCGCAGGAGCATGTTTTTAGGCTTAACTAGCCGCTACTTTGAGGTCTAGAAGCTAAACGGAGTGAAAAGACCATTTCACATTAGTTGTAAGGTTCTTACATTATTATTGGTGAAAGGACGCAAACATTTATTATTCAACTAGAACTTTTAATATGTTAACAGAGAGAAATTGTAGGCTATCAATATAACTGTTGGCTCAGGGTTGATGTTCTGCCGTATAAAACGGAGCCCTATTTGATTATGTGCATTATTGACAGGAGGGATGTAAGTGTAATGAGAACGACGAGGATTACCGTCAATAGACTAGCCATCAATCATACCGAGGAACTCCCGAGCCAAATAGGGTACAATCGACCTGTCAATACAGCTTATTGGTTTGGTCAAAGACGCAAAATAAGAGGCCATTTCTCTCTCCTCCGTTTACCCTTTGCCGCTCTCTAGTTTCGTCCCCTGTTCCTTAGACACGTCGACTTCTTTCAGAAGTACGGCGATCATAATGACTCAAAGTTGGACCATTTTATTAGATTTTCTTCATTTGTCACATCAGAGGCTATTGGTAGAACTATGTTTAGATCATTATAGTTGACAACGGCCCTGAAGCACGGGTCAACAGTGTTTAATCTCATAATCTAATGAGGTGAAGATAGACCTAACGGTCTTATTTCTTTCTTCTCATCACAGTAATCTTAGCCGAAAGATGGTTATCTGTTGAAGGACGCAAGGTGACCTTGACTTTTCAGGGTAAGAAGGGGTGGAGAAAATGCCTCGAGACAATGTCGGTGAAATAGTCATGACTGTGAAGATGCGGACTCTCTACACCTTGACAGAAAGACCCTACGAAGCTTTCCTGTTCTCTGGGATTGGCTAAGGGTTAGATGGTATAGTAACCTGTTCCACCGCAATCACGCTGAGGCG